ATCTCCAGGGTTTGTCATTTAGCATCGTGACCTCTCTGTCCTCACCAATTTCTTGTACTGGCTCAGATTTTATGCGTTTTGCATAAGCAATGGTCTGTATAAACAGTGTCCAGTTCACATGCAGAGCAGGGTGATTGGTGCTCATAATGCTGTACTTAAGCTGGTTTTTGATGCTTTCAGGAGGAGGCAGAAAGCTAAGCAGAGGAAAAAAATGTGTGATCTTTTAAAAATTAAACAGTCTCAAAGAACTTCTTTGAATATTTGTTACTTGTTGCTTCTGGAAATTTTAATGAGGAAATTTGAAAAGTTTAAACATTGTAGGGATAGTTTCTGTCTAATAAAATGTATAACTTCTTCATATGTAAATGCTTTATCCATTCTTCATGACATACAAGCATATATGCTTTCTTCTTCAGGTATTTCAGCACATTGATCCTTGTGGAAGGAATGGATATAGATTTCCTACATAAATGTGCTCTAGAGGAGCGAGTAGAACAACATCAGTTTGCTAATGCTCGGGAAATTTGCCAGGTAATCTTTTCTTCCTTTCTGACTGAGAGGTTACATGTTGAGTGCAGTGTAATGGAAGAGAAATAGAATAGAGCAGCAAAATTATCTGTTGTCAGAATGGTTAATTTTAAGTTGATTGAGGCTCATTGTGGCATTGAATGATGTAATTGCTTGCAGATTACAGTCTAATATTTTAATACAGTTGTACATGGAGTCTGTGATTAATGTTGCCTGCTTTAGTTTGGCATTATTAGGACCTGGAGTCTCATTTAGCATTGTAAGAATAATTTTAACTGCATTCGCTGCACTCGGTGCCCAGCCTCCAACTTGCGGTCAGTACCTCCCGACTGACAAAGTGCTGGCCATGTACCTATTGGGGAGAAAGGCCAAAGTCCTGCTGGCGGCCAAGAGGAGCAGCCCCACCAAACTGTGGCCCAACCAGACACTGAAGGTGGTGGTAGCCAGCAAGAGGAGGGCTCAGATCCTCACCAGAATCAAGCAATGGCCTCAGTAGGTGACCCGGAGCTCAGTGAGCAACTGTCTCCTAGCTTAGACCCAGAGAACAGTGCCTTGAATGTACTGTTGGTTTTGCTGCAGACGATTGTGTGAGAAGAATGTTACGTGCTTCTATATTGTTAAATTTTTATTTTAAGTATTTCACTTACCAAGTTGAGTTAAAGGGTGAAAGTTTAATGTTTGCATTTTTCTTTCTGCCAAGAAACCCAACTCCAGTACTAATACTGATTCCTGCAGGAATCAGTGCTTCACTTAAGGTTGCAATTTTCAGGAGTGCATCCTGA